TGGTTGAGTGGATGGGAGGATGGGTGAATGGATGGGTGAGTTGGATGGATGGGTGCAGTTAAGCAGATGTATGGATGGGTGGATAGGTAAGTGAATGGATGAGTGGATGGATGGATGCGTGGATGGATGGGTGAGTTGGTGGATGGATGGATGGATGAGTAGATGGGTGGATGGATGAGTGGATGGATGGACGCATGGTTGAGTGGATGGATGGATGGGAGGGTGGGTGAGTAGATGGATCCCAATGGCTCCACAGTCTCAGCTTGGGTTTCGTTTTGGACTCAGACCCACCTGACTGAGCACTGTGCATTGTGTGTAATTAACTGGGAGAAACACACGTCTTCTGTACATGCAAGAACATTCATATCATGATTTATAACAGAAAATTATTGGAAACTGTCTAACTGTCCATGAAGAGCTGGTGCAATAAGCTTCCCTAAATCCATACCGCTGGCTGCAGTGCGCCATTACGCCTGACGTCTCTGCCTGCATATCAGCAGCAGTCCCGTCACCGTACAGCTCCCTCTCGTGAACACACGTGTGGAGTCAGGGGAGGTGGTGCTGGGTGGAGAGAAGGGTGACTGCAGGGTCTAGAATTACGCAGAATTTCTACTTTAAACATTTATGTTTGGCCTAGGTCTTTTACCTTAAAACCTATCTCATGGCCGGGCGAGGTGACTCATGCCTGTAATCCCAGCACTTTGGGAGATAGAGACAGGTGGATCATGAAGTCAGGAGATCAAGGCCATCCTGGCCAATGTGGTGAAACCCTGTCTCTATAGAAAAACACAAAAAATTAGCCGGGTGCGGTGGCTCGTGCCTGTAGCCGCAGCGACTCTGGAGGCTGAGGCAGGAGAATCACTTGAACCCAGGAGGCAGAGGTTGCAGTGAGCCGGGATCAAGCCACTGTGCTCCAGCCTGAGTGACAGAGCGAGACTCTCTCAAAAAACAAAACCAAAACCAAAACTATTTCACATTGAAAGAAGACGAGTTTTTTTCTGCTTTTTTAGTCACGTCAATGCAGATTTTATGCTCATCGCAAACTCCACGGCTCCATTAAAACGCCCTCAGGAAATGGTCTCCCAACCCAGGAAGTACAGCTCAGTGGCCTCGTCACCAAGGACAACCCCGTGTGAGCAGCAGGGACCCAGCGTGCAGGGTGCCGGGGAAGAGCATCGGACACCCGGGATGCGGAGTGGACTCCAACCTGTGCGCAGGAAGCGTCCTCCGAGGACCCCGGAAGCAGGCGGGCAGGGCTCTCCAGGTCTGTGAAAGCTGAGCTCACACCAGGGAAGCCGGAACTGATGGGTAACAGGGTTCCATTTGCACACAAATGGTGGGTGACCTTGGGGACATGGAAAGATTGTGGTCACTCACCCTTTATCTCCCAGGTCCCAGTTACCTCAGGCTTTGCGTACCGTATTCTGAGACCCCCGTGCCCCTGAGCTGGGACGCACTGCATGGCCTTTCCTCCAGCCCAGCCCTTTTGCAACCCTGGCCCGAAGCAGCCACATCCTTCACACCGCAGTGACCCTGGGTGGGGGTGCCCTGGCCGCAGGCCTCGACTTGACCCTATCCTTGGCCAGGGCCTCTGACCCCCGTCTTAACGGTTGCACGGCCCCTAGTTCTTCCTCTGATCCTATCGCCAAACGCTCTCATAGTGGTCTGGTCCTGACTCTATCAGGACAAACAGGTATCCTGTCCCCAGGTGCCGTGGGCTAACAGCCTGTGCTGATGGTCTCAGGTTGATCCCTCCTAGATAGGGGACCTGCGCCTCCGTGGTCAGCACAGACAGCAGGATGCCGGGTGTTTCAGGAGCTGGCCCTCATCCCGCCCCTGTGTCCCCCGCTGTGCCATGGTGGCCATCCCAGGAGTGAGCCCCAGGCTGAGGTGGGGATGTGGGGCGTGAGGACACGCAGCCCTGCCTGCTCCTTCTCACCCGAGGGCCGCTGCCCGCTGGCCCTGACGGACGAGGCTGCCACGTCTTTCTCTCCCTCCAGGCCTCCCCTGGGCTGTTTCTCCAGCGCCTCCTGGCTCTTCCTAGCCCTGGAAACAACACGTTCTCTGATTGGCCGTGGAGCTGGGCCAGCCTGGGGTGTCCCAAAGCCTCCTGGGCTCAGACTCCCAGTCCTGAATCCCAGCAGCTCCAGGCCACTCCACCCACCCACACCCTGCCCCGCTCAGCGTGGGCTGCCCCAGAGCCAAGCACCCAGCCTGCCCCATGCCCTGCCCTGGGTCCTCTGGCTCACCCTGTCCACACCAGTGCCATCTGCCCAGGCCCGCTGGACAGGCAGGGCTGAGGACATACCAGACAGCCTGGCTTGGGGCCCCCGAAGCAGAGCTCAGGGCCCGCCCCCAACTCCCTGGCTGGAGGTGGCCCCAGGCCTGGGTGTGCTGTCTCCCCAGCCACCTTCCTTGTGGTTCCCAAGGCACGGCCAGCCCTGAGGGCTCAGGAACTCTCACCACTGGCATCACCAGCCACGCAGAGGCCACTGAGCTAGGAGCTCAGCAGGCAGGGGCCAGGGCAGGGCTTAGAGTTGCTTTCCCGAGCCACCACGGAGAGGCTTGTTCCTGGTGGATGAGGAGGGGTCTGAGGGTGGGGCTGCTGATGACCCAGGGGGCTCCAGCCAGGAGGAGGAGGAGGCTCGGCTACCTCTCACTGAGCTGCTCAGCTTACCCGGAGTTGGGGCGGATTCCGTTCTGCAGCCCTGGGTGGAGTCAGGGGAGGAGGACCCTCTAGCCCACGCGTAGTGAACCGCACCTGCCAGGATGTCCCGATGGGCCAGGGTCACAGGCATTTCTCTGTGAGGAAGAGGACCGTCTGCTCTGACCACTCGCAGAGGATCTGACCCAGGGTTGGGCCGCTGTGTGGACCTGATGAGAGAGCCTGGGGTCGGCTCCCCTTGGCCCTGTCTCCACCCCTGCAGTGAGGATTTGGCTTCGGGTCATCAGCCCAGGCTGCCTTTGGTGAAGACGTGGGGACATCCCACCAGGGAGGGCGGGCCGCTGTGCACTGATCGGCGTGTGTGGGGTGGCTGTGGAAGCTGGGAGCCCACCGTGCAGCTCCGGGGGAGGGGCCTGCCCATGTCATCAGCATTGCTACCACCTGCCCTGGGCATCGTGAAGCGCTTGGGCACCTGGCTCTGAGCATCACCAGGGCGGCTCGAGGTGGGGACGCCATCCCACTGCCTCCCAGGGGCGCAGGAACCTGCCAGGTGAGGTGGCACTTCTGCAGTGAGGCTGCGCACCCTCCTCCCCTAACCCTGGCGGCTCTCCTCTGCCGGTGATGCCGGTGGGGACAGTGACCCAGTGGCTCAGGACAACTGTACCACTGGAGCCTGGACCAAGGACCCACACCCCTGGTCGCTGGCCACCACCCTTCACAACCTGAACAAGGGGCTGCTTCCTCCCCGCCCCTTCTCCAAGGAGAGGACTGACTGGCACCTGCCCACTTCCTGTGGCTGAGGATAAAGGAGCTCCGAGGGGCCAGGGAGAGAGCTGCAGAGTCCTGGCATGGTAAGGGTGCTGTCCCCTCCCTGACGCCTGTGGGTGGCTCCCCGACCCCACCCCGACCCCGGGTCTGAGCCCCCAGCCCGCACTCCATGCTGTCTCCCTGCAGATGCTGCTGCTGCTCTTCCTGGCCATCTTCTCCCTGGGGAGCTGCAGCTCCGGGAGCCCCGGTGAGTCCTGGCCCACACGGCCCTCCCTTCCCAGAGGCTCCAGCCCTGACTCAGGATCCAGGGGACATGTGTACAGTCCAGCTCCGGCCTGAGGGTGGGCACAGGCTGAGGCTTGGGTGTCTGAGGTCAGGCTCCCTGACCTCCTCCTGTTTCTCCCAGCGCCCGTCCCCAAGAATGACCTGCTGGGCATCGTGGGGGGCCACAATGTCCCCCAGGGGAAGTGGCCATGGCAGGTCAGTCTGAGGATCTACAACTACCACTGGGCGTCCTGGGTGCACATCTGCAGGGGCTCCCTCATCCACCCCCGGTGGGTGCTGACCGCCGCCCACTGCATCTTCCGGTGAGTCCCGGGCAGAGACCCCAGTGAGGGGAGGGTGGGAGTGGGG